ATACATTTCTCAGTACTCTGTGTGTGTTGCCAGTTATGTCTGACCAATCTGATTTTGCCAACTTTTTGCTAGAAGGGTAGCCAAGAAATATTTAATGTTGGTAACAGTTATCCCAGCTTAATCTTAAATACAAAGCTATGTTAAATCGATTGATTCAGATGTAGATGCAGACATTGTTTTTGATTCACACAATAAAACAGGATTTTATATGCATTGAAAGCATATTTAATGCAGGCAATTTGTATAATAAAATTTAAAAAACATGTTTTACTCTATGACGTAAAGCAATTAAACGTGTTAGTATAGGAAATTCCGTTTTTTTTATGTTGTTGTTTTAGCGAAGTCTTTTGTTTTTTACAGTTACACCAGACCTTACAGTTGAAATTTTGAAACTTATAGTAAAAAAAAAAGAAAATATAGAAACACACACACACACACACACACACACACACACACACACACACACACACACACACACACACACACACACACACACACACATACACAGTCTGTGCATTCGAAAGAGTGTCATATGTGTGTGTAGAGTGTGTATGAGATAGCTGTTATCAGGCACACATACAGTTCGAGTTATTCTAACTAAAGTCTGTGCTGTGCAGATAGATCAACTTTTCTGGCTCTTTATTGTTGCTGTGCTGATAATGTGCAAACAGTTTTTCAGCTTCCCTTTTTAAAAACGAAGTGATTAGATATTACTTATACAATAATATTGATTATATTTGGCTCTTACTGAACAGAATCGTTAATTTCGGAAGATGATCTTGATTAAGACAAATCAGGAATTCTTGTGTGCTAGTAGGACTGAACAGTATATCATTTGAGCATGGATATCACAATGTGTAAATCTGCAATATTCACATCGCATGATTAAATTATTTATTGAAAAATAAAAGATAAAGATATTAATATATATAATTATTTTTACAATAATGACCATTATATTTTACATTTGATTGTTCAATTTCTTTACATGAGTACTTGTAAACTCCACAGAAAACTCTAAAAAGCACTGTTTATTTGTTTGTTTTTGCTTGTAATTTACTATAATTCAGATCCCACTAGCTGGCAAATTTTTCACCTATTTTGGGTTTTAGGTACGATGAAGTTGCTCAGCTCAGCTGGCTCATAATACCTTTGCTTGAAAACAAAAAGAGATTAAAGTCAAGCTGAAATTTAAGTGACTAGCCAGCTAATCCTGCTTCATGATACAGGCCCCAGTTCTCTTGGTTTTTATTTTGTCTAGACCAAAACATTAAACACAAAACATTTCGAAATGACACATTTTCTAATTCACTGAGCTTTCACACCTTAATTTTTAAATCATAACCTAAATATACAGTGAAAAGAAGTTATTTGTTATTCCGATGCAATGTAAAGAGGTTAACTGGAACTTAATCTGAATCTGATTTCCATTCACAGCTCCAGTTAGGTATATTTTTATGGTGGAGTAAAGTTGCATATATATGTAATGGAGAACTGTGTTAATGCTCTGTAGTTTTGTAAGGCTACAAGCAAGGTGTAATATGAGTGAAAGTTCAGGCATGACTGGCATGTTTACATATCCATCAGTCTGTCCTCTTAAAATACTCCTCAGTGTCATGGAGACTGGCTGCTGATTCATGCATATAAAGCTGAATTCACACTGCACAGACAGATGCTGGCAAAAGTGGACAATCACAAGTCCAGTATGTTCAGTCATTAAAAAACATCACTGCTTCACAGACAGGGCTAACAAAACCAAATGAAATGTGGTTTACGTTGGTTATTGATGTAGAGTGAATTGGCCATAAGGCTTTGTCTCTGTGACAGATATTACATATAATTTTATTTAACCATGCTTTAACACTGTTGGGCTATTAGTATGTATACTATATACATTTTTTTTTAAATATAGACTAGATTTATACTTATAGTATTTGTATTGAAAATCAAATCAATAGATATTTGGGGGTACATAGCAGGCACATAATTTTTTTCTTCACTTTTTTTACATTAATATTTCTAACCTGATTTTTAGTTTATGTTCTTTTTAATTAAATGTCTATGAGGGTCTAAGATGAACGGGGCTTTTCAAAGATGTTAAATCAAGATTCCTGATCAAATGTATTAGATCCAGCCCCTGATACTGTCAGAAGATATCACTTTCTCAGATATCAATTACAACAGTTTTCAAATGCCCAAACCTGGTTATATCGGCTGAAGCTTATAATTGAATTATTTGATGTAATAACAAATACTTTATTTAATAACAAAACAAATCTTCAGAGTAAGTTGAAAAAGCTTATCCGATTAATCGACCGACTACAGTGGTAGATTAATCATTTATTAAAATAATCTATAGCTGCAGGTCTAATATCACCTTTGGTTTGTTACTTGTTTGGTTCCCAAAACTGTTGCCATTTTCTACCAGCAAAGACATCCATCTTCTGATTGATCAGAAACATTCTCTTACTAGAGATAATCAATATATTTCAAAACAACACTTTGATTAAAAAAGCAACAATGGAAAAATAGTAAATAAAATATAATAATAATGTATAAAATGAATATAAAAAGTAGTAAATAAATGATTTACATTTTGTTGTAAATTACATAATTAACTAGAATAAAATGATTGTACATAACAGATAATTCTGATTTTGATATTGGCTATCATACAAACATTTTTAGAAAACGTTCACAAAAAAACAATCAGTGTAACTGTTGTGTATATGCATGTATGTCTTCATAAAAGCAGGCAGGCAAACATTTGAGAAGAGGAACAACAATATATTACAGTTGTTTAAACCAATAAATGCTGTTATCAGTCAATTGTTTCCCATCATGCCTTTACTATCATACTCTGTGAACAGCTGTGACAAGAATTATTTGACCTGCAATTGGATGATACAGATTTCTAACCAACATGTCTCACAGTGATCAGCAGACGGGTGTTTTGTGCAGATTTGTTCATCTCATATAAACCTGATGAATTCTTGATTCTGTTACTCTGAATGAGCTCTAATAAACTGCCGGTTTAGTCAGCCAAAGGTTGGCTGGTTATGTCAATAGTAAGAAAAAAAAAAAAACTTTTACACAGCCAGCACTTATTTGAGCATGCCAGAAAAGCAAATATCTATTTTTTTTTTAAACTTTGTATTTTAGGTTTCATTAAAGATCTAACAATAAGTCAGTTGCAAAACATGACATTTTGGGCATTTTTTACAGACAGTTTGATGTTTTATTTTTTTAAACACTACTTAAAATAATAAAGTTGACGCTGCCGCCTAATATGTTCTCTCTATATTTATAAAATACTTTAAGTTGAATTTTATGCAGACAGGATGTTTTGTGAATGCAATATTTTCATGCACTGCTGTGTATTGCGATATATATGCAATTTCACCAGATGACTAGAATAGCTTGTAAAGAGTTCATAATTTTAAATCGATTGGGATGACTAAGTAGGGGAGTGTATCTACATAAAATATAATTAAAGAAATGACAAGTATAGTTAAATACAACAGACAAAAGATGCAAATAATCGGTCATTTATGTATTTACAATAAATACTGTAAATTATGTATTTAATTTATTTTCTGGGGAGTCAGATAGAAAATTCTGCAGCAGAAATTAAATAATCACTATAGAAAATTCTGCTGCAGAACTTAAACAAGCACTATAGAAAAGTCAGCAGCAGAAAATAAATAATCACTTGAAAATTCTGCAGCAGAAATTAAATAAGCACTATAGAAAATTCTGCAGCAGAAATGGATTAAATAATCACTATAGAAAATTCTGCAGCAGAAATTAAATAATCACTAGAAAATTCTGCAGCAGAAATTGATTAAATAATCACTGTAGAAAGTTCTGCAGCAGAAATTAAATAAGCACTATAGAATATTCAGCAGCAGAAATTAAATAATCACTATAGAAAATTCTGCAGCAGAAATTAAATAAGCACTATAGAAAATTCAGCAGCAGAAATGGATTAAATAATCACTGTAGAAAGTTCTGCAGCAGAAATTAAATAAGCACTATAGAAAATTCAGCAGCAGAAATGGATTAAATAATCACTATAGAAAGTTCTGCAGCAGAAATTAAATAAGCACTATAAAAAATTCAGGAGCAGAAATTGATTAAATAATCACTGTAGAAAGTTCTGCAGCAGAAATTAAATAAGCACTATAGAATATTCAGCAGCAGAAATTAAATAATCACTATAGAAAATTCTGCAGCAGAAATTAAATAATCACTATAGAAAATTCAGCAGCAGAAATGGATAAAATAAGCACTATAGAAAATTCAGCAGCAGAAATGGATTAAATAAGCACTATAGAAAATTCAGCTGCAGAAATTAAATAATCACTATAGAAAATTCTGCAGCAGAAATTAAATAATCACTATAGAAAATTCAGCAGCAGAAATGGATTAAATAAGCACTATAGAAAATTCAGCTGCAGAAATTAAATAATCACTATAGAAAGTTCTGCAGCAGAAATTAAATAATCACTAGAAAATTCTGCAGCAGAAATGAAATAATCACTAGAAAATTCTGCAGCAGAAATGAAATAATCACTAGAAAATTCTGCAGCAGAAATTAAATAATAACTGTAGAAAATTCAGCAGCAGAAATTAAACAATAATAACAACACTGTATTGTTTTATTTAAGTACAAAGGTACAAATAACCTTTAAGCTTGAAATGTTTAATTTATTGTGCCCAAATGTATAAGTTTGCTCAAAATTGTTACAGTCAGACCTTAAAAACACCTCAAAATAAAAAACTTTAACTCAAAGATTGAAATTCACTTGAAATTACTTCACTACAGTTAACTGTAACATCTGGTCAACTATAATCCCAACTACATCGCAGATCTCTGTACTGTGACTATTGCGGACGCACACATTACGATATCGATCCTGGGACTGAGACGATATATTGTGCAGCCCTAGTTTCAAATCAATGTTTGGAAACTCAATCTCCTTCTCTCTGTTTTTTAGGTCTGCTTCCTCTTGTTTGCAGTACTGTACATTGTGTCGTACTGCATCATCTCACAGTACAAGAGGAAAAGTGGTGAGTAAGACTAATCTGGTTAGTTTCTGATCAAACCATACAATACCATTAAAAATAAAATGTTCTTTATGACCTGCAAGGTTTTCATATAAGGTGATACTAAATTTTTTGTGACAATTGAACTATTTTATTGGTTGTAAAATCTTTTGAAGACTACAAATCTCAATTCGGGTATCATCCAGCTCCGTAAAACAAGGTGCTTCTGCTATCAGACTCCCTGATACAAACAATCGTAAGGACAGTTATTCCTTACTTATTCTCGAGGAGGTCTCGTCCTTTCATTAAAAAAAAACAAAAAAAACATAACTAATGTCAGCTAAATCCTTATAAGCAGTTTATCATAGGAGAAACTTGTTTTAAATAAAAAAAAAATGTAATAAAATATATTAACTGCTATTTACTGTTAAGCTGTTAGACTACCAGCCCTATATGGATTTTCTGTGGTCCGAATCTTCATTTACTTTAGAGTGATTGAGTTTTGTGCTGGGTTCTTTCTTTCTTTCTTTCTTTCTTTCTTTCTTTCTTTTTTTATCCCATTTGGCAATCGATTCCTCTCCCCCCGCTCCTCCATCCACTCTTTAACCCTTTTTGATTCTGGACAGCCTCCATCTGGCCGATTCATTCAGAAGGTTTATTCAAATGTTTGTGATTTATGATAAGCCAGTATTGTTTTCATGTTGCTTTCAGTTAAATGAAGAGAAATTGTGCTTTAGTCTTATTAAACCATCTGTCGTGTCCCTGTGTCCTCTGTTGTGTCGCAAGTTCACAGCAAAGAACTTTACACTGGATGAAAAGAAAAACAAACTTACATTTAAGATAGCCGGCACATCAGAAGCAACAGTAGTAGGTTTACCAAAAATATAAATGGCAAATCTAATGCCATTGATCTGTGTTTTCCTATGCCAACAGATGACCAGGAAGATGAGGATGCCATTGTCAACAGAATATCGTGAGTTCTTTGATACTAACATATGGGACATAAAAAGTGTTTTTATGGTACACTGAAATAATTCGTTTATAAGAGGTGATATCAATAAAACTGATGTTTTCCCCCCCCCAGATTTTTCACTGTACTTTCTGTTCTAGACTATTTTTTTCTTCATATGATACAGCAATAATTTATCAGGACATAAAAAGTAAAACAGAAGCAAGTTGATGATTTAATAAAATCTTTAACATAATAACATTTTAAAATAATGATTGTTTAATTTGATCTTTCTTTCAGTATGTACCTGTGTACATTTACATTGGCGGTGTCTGGAGGTGCTGTCCTCCTTTTACCATTCTCTATAATCAGCAATGAGATCCTGCTTTCTCTTCCAAAAAACTACTATATACAATGGCTCAACGGATCTCTCATACATGGTCAGTATCATGACTTTTTATACAGTATGTTTTAACAACTTTACATATAGGCATACATAAGGTTATATATTGTGTCACTTAAAAAAAATAACTGTGGTATGTGTGCTACTGCTTTGTTCTCCTGAAAGCACAGCAAAACTAGATTTCTTTTTTGGATGCTTTTATTTTAAAATGGTGTTTAAATCTGTTCTTTTGTTTAATTAAAAGGTTTATTAATTAGCAAGCCGCCTAAATTTATTTATAAGTCCATACTCTTCTAGAGTTATTTTTTCTACGTTTCAGCCATGGCCACAAGGTGGTGTTGTGTGTCTATTTTTTTGTAATTATGTTAACCTGAGAGCAGTTGTTTGACATTAAAACGTTGAGGGTTTTCACTGTGACAATGCAAGGTTCATTTTTATTTTGTTTGTTTGATTTTGGAGGAAAATTTAAAAATAAATATAAACATGGTGTTAAATTGCCCACACTAAAATAATAATTAGATTAGACAAGTTATTTACTGAAGCAGGGGTGGAGTGGGAATGATTTCTTATCATATAAAATGATATCTATCATGTTAGTTTCATGCTTTATGATCTGATGTGTTTTTCTTCAGGCCTGTGGAACCTGGTCTCCCTCTTCTCAAATCTCAGTCTTTTTGTGCTGATGCCTTTTGCCTACTTCTTCCTGGAGTCCGAAGGCTTTGCTGGTTCCAAAAAGGTACATACTTGTTTTTAAGTTTAATAGGTATGTTCAATGGGCTGGTATAAGTTTCTGACATTATGATAAACTTGGATAAAAATATTTAACAGTTTTGTAATTACTGCTCTATTATAGATTCTTATTAAATGGCTGGGTAAAAACCAAAAACTTTTCCCCCTTTGAACACAATACATTTTATTTTGAGAAACTTAAAATATTTTGTAACACTAAACATTCATTCATTCATTCATTTTTTTTTTCGGCTTTATTAATCTGGGGTCGCCACAGCTTAATGAACTGCCCACTTATCCAGCACATGTTTAACGCAGCGGATGCCCTTCCAGCCACAACCCAAACACCCATACATTCTTGCACACACAATCATACACTCCATACACATTTAGCTTATTTAATTCACTTATAGCACATGTCTTTAGACTGTGGGGTAAACTGGAGCAACCAGAGGAAACCCACGCGAACACAGGGAGAACAAACTCTACACAGAAATACCAACTGACCCAGCTGGGGCTCAAACCAGCGACCCTCATGCTGTAAGGTGATTGTGCTACCCACTGCGCCACTTTGCTGCCCTAACAGTAAACATGTCAGGCTAAATAATTCAAATGAGTCATTGACTTCTGCTGTCTTTATTAGTCATTGGGTATCTTTTCTGCTGGAGATACTGCTGTCCTAAAAAAATTAAATAAACGTAAAAAAAAAAACAATCTTACATATACTGTGGGATAGGGCTGTGTTTTAATATGGGCAAAAGAAACTCATCAAAATTTTCTTAAACAATAATGCAATTTCAATTTTAATCCCAATTATGACACACACAAATGGTTTACAGTGTGAATCTGAAAAAATATTTCCAAAGGAAAACAATTAGCTCAACAATTAGCTCTTTATCAAACACCTGTAATATGTCTTTGAAACAGACATAAGCCAAAAAAATTAAAATCACCTTGTAAGGGTGTAATAAATGGTCTCTAGAACAGACCTATGGGAAAACAAATAAACAAACCACTGTGTGTGTGTGTGTGTGCGTGCGTGCGTGCGTTCGTTTATGCGCCCGCGCGCGCTCGTTCTGTTTAACCATGTCAGAAGTAGTTGCATGTCCTTCCATATGTGTCCAGATTTTTTTTTTTGACATGCATAGATCATAGACCTCTTTGTGACGCTGCCGTGAAATAGTCTGTTTACAAATCGTGTCTTTTGCATGCACAAGTTCGTTATCTCCAATGAAAGCGCGCATATTGGAAGTGACGCACACGTATTAGATGCGCACCCAGTTGAAAACATCTTTACTTTCAGAATGCTACAAGAGAGTCACATAACAAGAAATGAGCAATCAGCTTTTAACTTTGGAATGTACACATTTCGGTAGACTGATTAACTCAGAAGACCCAAACACCCAGTGCGTTTTCATTTTCTCTTTAAAGGTTCAAGAATCCCTTGAGTACTTTTTTAAAGATTTTAACAGATGTGTGTGTTGAGCTTTAATTAAGTGAATGTTAGCACCTGTTAGCTTTAATTGTGGGGAACACGGGACAATTTTGAGCTTTTGTCAGCTAATTTCATCTTCCGGGTTTAAAATTATTTTTACAATTTACAAATGGCCTGATTCTGTGATACATCAGCCTTCCTCTATCCAAAGTAATCGCACACCACAGATGTTGACCTTTCTTGGCACCAAGTCCTTTTCTGCTGAACTCGTCATCCCTGTTTATGCAGGCTATTTTTCATTAAGCTCAGTGTCCTATTCTCATATTCTTTTTAGTTGTGCTGCGTTACGATTGGTTCAAATAGCATACTGTGGGAAAATCGTGCTGTAAAGCGATTTAGAAATTGTGCATGTTCAAATCGCGGTTTTGAGACGTTTTCAATAGTCGCACAGCCCTGAACATTTTTAACTGAAAATTTTGACAGTTTTAAAACCTTGACTCCTTCAAACCACGGTAAACCTTAAAAACAGTTATCGTCCCATGGTTAGTGTTCAAGCTTGAGCATTTATGTTTATTGTATCAATTCGTTATATCCAAAGACACATAAGATACCAGAGACATTTTCTCACTTTTGTGCAAACCAATACTGCCAGCACACCCAGGTTTGCGCACTTACTCACACTCACTTGTTCAAACGCACACAAACACACACACATGGTTTTATGTGTCCCCCTTTTGATTTCAGCCACCTCCCCCCCATCCTAAAAGAGATAAAAGTTCAAAAGCAGAAACCTGATGTCATTAGTCTCTGAAAGAAAGAACGTAAAGCAGCAAACACACATCTCCACAATAGAGTTAGCAGGCAAAAATGAAAGGGTGGGAGGGAATGCATCAAGTTGCCCTCTGTCTTACTCTCATCACAGTTTGAAGTCGCTCCTGGTTTATGTCGCTTCTGGCAAAGCTAAATAAAGATTAGTTGCTACTGTAGTTTATGAGGCCGGCACTCATTTGTACGGGAGCGAGGTGTACTGCTTCATTTTGTCTCGTTTGCACCGTGACTGTTTCTGGCCATTGATCAACCAGAAACGCAGGAGAGAGGGAAGCACTGCTTAATGTTGGCTTACACGTCTTGGAATGACCGACAGAGTGTATTATATATGTGCGTGAGTGTGTGTGTGTGTGTGTTTTGTAGCTAAAAAGAGGAAATGATTAAATAGTGGCATTTGTATGAAAGCCTCCTGCTGATACAGGGAAGGGTTAAGTCGTCAACTGCAGAAGCCCATAAAAGCAAGATTTCATGTTTTCTTTTTAAGTATAAAGTCAAATGGCCTGCTTGTGCTGGTCTTCATAGTTAAACAAGGACGTATATATATGGCCAATTGCATTCAGTAACTGGAGGAAATGAAACTGGGTAGTTTGTTAAAAGCTCGTGTGAG